CGGCGCCCACGTCAAGTCCTGGCCAAGCCCCGGTCCACAGCGCGCTACCGCGCGCCAAAGTGCAGAGCTTGAAGATGAGCCTGGTTCTAGCGCTGCTGTTCGTGGGCTGCGAACTGCCCTACTTTGCTGCCCGGCTGGCAGCTGCGTGGTCGTCGGGACCGGTGGGAGAGTGGGATGCTGAGGACTTGGCGGTGGCCCTGCGCCTCGTCGGGGTGGCGAACAGCGCCCTCAATCCCTTCGTCTACCTCTTCTTCCAGGCGGGAGACTGCCAGCTCGGGCGGCGGCTGCGGAAGCGCCTGGGCGCGGACTGCTGCGTGCGGCGGGGAGTCTCGGAGGACGACGAGGGGCCCCAAGGCCACCAGGCCCCCCACCGCCACCGCTGGCCCCATCCCCATTATCACCACGCTCGGCGGGAGCAGCTGGAGAAGGGCGGCTTGCGCCCCCCGCCGCCACCCCCCTGGCCGCTGCCCTGCTCCTGCGAAAGCGCATTCTAGGTGGTCCGTGGCCAGAGACGGGTCATCTGTTGCCGCGGCACAGCCTCTGATCACAGCGGACCGGAGGGTCTCCGAGAGAGGGACACCGAAGCTGTCCACTTTCTCCATTCTCCTGATATATATTTTTTGTAATGTTTACATTTTCCTATATTCTTCCGGTTCCTTTCAGTTCCTGTTCACATTTTCCCACTTGGAAACGAGGGAGCAAGCCTTTGGGAAATTTAAGTTCTCTTTTACGCTCCCATAGGTTTCTGGGTAACATCGTCTGTTTTACCGAAACTGCCAAGCTTTTATTTGCTGGATTATCATCTGTTTTTACTTATTTTGCGTTGTTTCTATCAAGTATACCTTGGGGACCAATTTGCCTTTCTTTCCAGGAGGAAAATCCCCACGTTGCTCTCCCCAGGAGCCCGGAAATTGTACCAGTGGTACTGTGAGAAATGTAATTGTGCTGTTACTTCACAGCCACGGAGTATTCGTAAAATAACAACACAATTAGTGCTGTTTTTGTTTTGGTGAGGTGGGGAGTGGTGTGTAGTGTTTTTTTTCATGGTAGTGTGTTTTCTCAGAAGAAAATCAGTGTGGGTCTTTATTTACAACCTAGCTTCCACGGACTTGTCGGAGGGAGACATAAAAGCTTCCCTTAGTCCCTTTCAAAAATGCCGAGTTTCAGAAGGCATTTATCCCTGAGCTCAGACCAGCCTCTAAGGTGGAGAAAAGAAGTACCAAGTGGTGGGTCCGGCGGGGCTCACTGTCCCAGGTTGGGGAGCCTCAAAATTTGCAGCTAGGAAGGAAGCTGTAACCTCAGAATGCTGCACGTACATGTAAAACTCCTTTTTAAAAAAATGAAAGCAGTGTCTATTGGTGTGGATTGCTGAGAACAAGGTCAAGGAGATTTCATTGGTACCCTCCTCGTTAACTGTCCTTGGTTCTCCAGCGTTTATGAGCAATATCTCCACTTGTTTGCCAGTGTCCTTCAGCTGAGAACCTGCAAGCTTTCCATTATAGTGTTTCCTGTACATGCACAAATGCAAAACTAAGATGCAGAAAGGGGCAAAGATTGGTAAAATTCACTTGCAGAGTCAATGCTCTCTCAGGTCTTTGTTTCACTGATATAGGGGAGGGCAAAAGTAGGTTTACAGTTGTTTCTACGGAAAATAATACAATGATTAATAAATAATAATACAAGACACTTGTTTCACACTCACAACTATAAACCTACTTTTGCCCCACCCTGTATATTCCAAACTCTTACAACACAGAGTAGGCATTCAACACATTTATTGAATAATTCATCATGAGTTCGGCATATGAATAGAAGATTTACAAAAAGAAATATTTGTTAGGCTTAAACTCCATATTGGTTTCCATGGTGGCTGTACCAGTTTACATTCATATCAGCAATGAATAGGGTTCCTTTTTCTTCACAACCTCTGCTTGTTGAGAATAGCCATTCTAACAGGTGTGAGATCGTATCTCATAGTTTTGATTTGCATTTCCCTAATAGCTAGTGAAGTTGAGCATCTTTTCGTATATCTGTTGGCCATTTGTATGTCTTGGGAGAAGTGTCTGTTCAGGTCCTCTGCCCAGTTCAGTAGTCAGTAAGAGAGTACCTCTCCCTCCACCTTTGGTTTTATTCAGTCTCTCAAACTGGGGAGGGCAATCTGATTTACTCAGTCTCTGTTCAAATGCAAATCTCTCCCATCGACACCCTCCAGGCACACCCAGGAATAACATTTAATCAAATACCTGGGCATCTGTATCCCAAATTAGAATATTAAATTTACCGCCACAGGAAACTATTAGGTGTCCTTATAACTTCATCCCTAATGGGAAGTGTCAAATGCCTATACATTTTTATTTTTCTCTCTTTCTGAAAGTGCTCTAAGTAAGGACCAAAGGATACAGGTGATTGAAAATTTAGCCTATGCCATCATCCATGAGGTTACACTAAGAGAAAAGATTTGGATACTGGACATTCAAGAGCCACTTTGCAACCTGCAACCTTCATTCATCTAGCCAGTGAAGTCACGCCACTGTTAAGCTTGAAACTCCTTAGAGAGGCTTCCTTGCAAATGATACAGTAAACATTTCCTCAGCTAGCTGGATGGAGATTTTTAAGTGTATTTTGAATTTTTTTAAGATTTCCTTCTTCACTGAAATCTTTATTATTATTCTATATTTCTTAAATGTACTAAGAGCCTACCCTAGACCAATGTGTCCTACAGAATACTTTGTGAAGCAGCAGAGGCTTCCATATTAATACATTATAAAAGAAAAAATAGTTTTATAGTTGAGTATTTGGAACAGTAGGTTAAACAGCCCCCTTCTCTCCTTTTTTAACTTTTTATTACAAAATATACAGAAAAGTTGAAGAATACAAAAGAATACCCACATAGTCACCACTGAGTTTCAACAGTTAACATTTTAAAATGTTAACATTGTTAAATATATTTAGTTGTTTTTTAGTAACTTGAAAATTAGTTGCAGACATCATATGCTTACACTTCACCTCTGAAAACCTGAGCATGTACCTCCTAAGACATGCTTGCATAACCACAAAAGTATTATCACTCTTAGGAAAATTAGCATTAATTCCCTAATATCACAATACCCAGTTCAAATTCAAATTTTATCTTTTGTCCTCAATATAATTTGTAAAGATTTTTTTCTTTTGGACTAAAATATAATTACAGTCCATACATTACATCTGATTGTTAAAGCTCTTTAGTCTCTTTTATTCTAAAACAGCCTCCCTGACCTTTTTTTTATTTTTTTATAAAGTACACAGAAGCCAAATTATATTCCAAAAATTAATAACATTCAAAACTTTAGAATCCAGCATAAAAATTGAATGGTGGGCTTCCTACTTCATGAATATAAAGCAATATATTTGCCAAATTCTGATGTCAGTTATAGCATTAATAAAATTCCAAACTACTGAACAGAAGCTATAGGGGCCTGAAGGGCTGATGTGGAGGAGGAAGAGGTTTAAATGGCACTGTTATAGCACAGAGAGGAAAAGAGAGGGGGCTATAGAAACATCAATGATGAGAGGGAATCACTGATCAGCTGGCTCCTGCAAGAACCATACCTGGAATTGAGTCCCCATCCGGGGCCTGTGCCCTGACCAGGAATGGCACCCTGGCCTCCTGGTTCATACATCCAAGCTAAACCACTGAGGCAAGCCAGCCAGTGCTTTCTCACATTTTCTACAGTGTAAGGCTTTCCTCCACTATAAAAGTCTCTGATATCCAGTAAATTTTGAGCTACAGGTACAGGATCTTGCACATGCTCTACATTTGAAAGATTTCTTTTCAGTATGAAGTCTCTCATGTACAGTAATACATGAATGGCTTTTAAAGACTTTACTACATATTTCACATTCATAAGGCTTGTTCCCAGGCAGAATTCTGTGATGTTCAGTAAGTTCTCACTGCTGGTCAAGGACTTATGACACTCCTCATATTTGTAATACTTCTCTCAAGTATGAACTCTGCTGTACAATAAGGCAGGAACACTGATTAAAAGCTTTGTTCCATTTTTACATTCATAAGGCTCCTCTCAGTATGACCTCTCTGATGTGCAGTAAGGTTTGAGGAGCTGCCAATGGATGTGCCACATTCTCTTCATTCATGTGGCTTCTCTCCAGCATGAACTCTCTGATGCACATTAAGATTTGAGGACCATCTAAAGGCTTTGCCACATTTTCTACATTTATAAGCCTTATCTCCAGCATGAATTTTCTGATGGCGATTAAGTGTTGAGGACTCACTGAAGGCTTTGCCACATTCTCTACATTTATAAGGCTTCTCTCCAGTATGAACTCTTTGATGTATATTAAGAGAGTAGGGACTTATAAAGGCTTTGCCACATTCTCTACATTTATGAGGCTTCTCTCCAGTATGAACTCTCTGATGACGATTAAGGGTGAAGGAATGGCTAAAGACTTTGCTACATTCTCTACATTTATAAGGTTTCTCTCCAGTATGAACTCTGCGATGTTGATTAAGTTTTGTGGACGTACAGAATGCTTTGCCACATTCTCTACATTTATGAGGCTTTTCTCCAGTATGAACACTCTGATGACCTTTAAGGTTGGAGGGATCGATAAAAGCTTTGCCACATTCTCTACATTTATAAGGCTTCTGTCCGGTATGAACTCTCTGATGGGTAATAAGGTTTGAGGGCCACCTAAAGACTTTGTCACATTCTCCACATTTATAAGGTTTCTCTCCAGTATGAACTCTGTGATGATGATTAAGTTTTGCAGTTGTACTGAATGCTTTGCCACATTCTCTACATTTATGAGGCTTTTCTCCAGTATGAACAACCTGATGATTTTTAAGGATGGAGGAATCCATAAAAGCTTTGCCACATTCTCTACATTTATAAGGCTTCTGTCCAGTATGAACTCTCTGATGGGTCGTAAGGTTTGAGGGCCATCTAAAGACTTTGCCACAGTCTCTACATTCATAAGGCTTCTCACCAGTATGAACTCTCTGATGCTTAGTAAGATCTGAGAAGCTGCAACAGGCTTTGCCACAATCTCTACATTTATAAGGCTTCTCTCGTGTGTGAACTCTCTGATGATAAGTAAAGTGTGAGGACCGTCTAGAGGCTTTGCCAGATTCATTACATTCATAAGGTTTCTCTCCAGTGTGAATTCTCAGATGAATACTAAGGGTTGAGTGCTGGGTAAAGGCTTTGCCACATTCTGAACATTTATAAGACTTTTCTCCCGTATGATTTCTATGATGCTGAGTATGTCTTGAGGACTGACTAAAGCCTTTTCCATTTGCCGCGAGTTTGTAAAATTTTGCAATAGTATGAATTCTTCCCTTATGTACAATGAGAGATGAATGACACTTAAAGGCTTTGCCACATGCTTTACATTTGTAAGGCTTCTCTCCAGTATGAATATTCTCTTGTTCATTGTAATTTGATGATTGCTGAAAAGACTGGACACATTTACTTCTTTTGTGTGTCTTCTTCACAATAGGAATAACCTGATGTATGTTGTGATTGGACATTTGGTCCAAGACTTCTCCACTTTTATAATGGTCCTGTGCAAGCTCAATTGAATGATGATTAAGATGTGACTCTTGCTTAAAGTTTTTCCAACGTTCAATCCATTGATAAATGCTATCTCCATTATGTGTACTGAGTATTATTTCAGAGAATAAATCTTGTATTCCGGGCTTTGGCATAAAGGCCTGGTTATCTTTAGGTGGTACAGCCAGGGAGGCCAGGTTGCTGTAGTTCTCCAACATCACATCCACGTACAATTTCCGCTGAACTGGGTCCAGGCATTCCCACTCCTCCTGAGAGAAATCTATGGCCACATCCATGAAGGTCAACGGTTCCTGAGAAGCAGCCATTTGGTCCTGGTCCTGATAGGGATCTGTGTTGTTTTCTCAGGTGACAATATGTTGAGGAGTCCCAGAATGTGCCTTCAAAGGAGTCCGCACAGCCTGTTAATCAGCTCACTTCACACTCACAGTCAGAAGGAGCTGGAAATGAGGAAAAGGCCACTCCCTTCTGTCCTTTGTCACAGGAGAGAGTCAGGAACAATGAGCTCCTACATGGAGACCACACTGTGAGGTGTTTTATTTCGTCTTCATGTTGTCTCTCCTCCCAAAGACATCCAAAAACTCCGCTGTGAGAGGCTCTGGAGCAGGGACTTCAACAAGGACTTCAGCGCCTGGAAGGTGGATGGAGAGCATCAGCTTTAAAGCACAAACACCCTCCTCAGGGAGAACCCACCATCTTCCCTCCCTGACCTTTTTAAAAAGGCATTGTGTTTTGAAGAGACCAAGCCAGTTATCTGGCAGAATATCCCACATTATTAATTTTTCTTAATATTTCCTTATGGTATCTTCTAACTTATTCATCTTTCCCAACAGGTTTCTTTACAGAAGTACCTCTCAGAGTCAATATGTTACTATACAAAATGACTCTCCAAGTGGATACCTTTTAGGAGCCTCTGAGCTCTTCACAATAACCCTTTCTTTGGGAATTGTCCTAAATACCCAGTGTTTATAGGTGAGTTCGAAAGTGATAGTTATTGTAGTTGTAATGCCTATACCTGAGGGTACAGGCAAGAGAATTGTGTTGAGTTAGGTCCTAGAGGAGATACAACCAAGATGACACACACTAAAGTAAAGTCGGCTGGACAATACCAGAGCAAGTACAGGTCTGGCTCAGATGTTGGCCTGATGGAAGGTTATCTCTTATTGGTACCATCCAACGTTAGGAAGAATTGTTTTTGCACAGTGCATTATTTATGCAGACTCAGAAAAAAATCTGGACTAGAAAAAAGTGGAAAATAAAAGGAAGCAAGGAAGGCACTCAGTTTTGGCACACAGTGCATGTGGCAGAGAAAGAGATCAACGAAAGCAGCAAGTTAACCTGTCAGAAACAGCTGAGCCTTCCCAGGAGGAACAGG